TCATCCTTTTAATGGTTAGAGATGATCAAATCCTATTTATGGTTTTACAGTGGCTCTTTGAATGATTCTATAGCTATTTTGTGAAGAAGCAGGGAAGAATGATGAAATCCTTTATGGGTAAGCATTTGTGCTATTATATCAGGGAAAATAAGAAAAGGAAGAGAAAAAGAGTGAGGATATGTTCCTTCAAATCTTAAAATCTTAACTCCTCCAACTAAGCTAGCTGTCCCAGCCACTCTGGTTGTTATGCCAATATATCCACCCCTTCCACCACCTTCCGTTCCTATCCAGCCCCAATTCCTGACACTGGGGCCCAGAACTTCCCCTCCTTCTAGGGATCAATTAGAAAATCCTATGTTAGTTTCTGGGGCACAGGGACTTGGTCTGGTATCATCTTCTAAGACCCAGCAGGGCAGCCAGTTTGGGCCAGGAGCCACTCCCAGGGCAGGGCAATTTCCATTGCTGTTATCACACATAGGGGGCTAAATGCAACTGACCAGACAGTTGGGTTTCTCAGACTTCTTTAACTGGAAAGATCACAACCCTTCTTACAGGGAGGATCTTCTACACCCGAAGCCCATTTGGCAGTACCCACAGCTGAACCAAATTGGGACCATGATAAAGGAAGAATGCCCTTATTAGAGCATTACTTATTAGTGCATCTTGGCAGGGCTTTGAAAATGGAAACCAAAGCAAATGAGTTTAAACAATGTTCAAGAAATTCAGCAAAACAAAGGAAGACTTCTCTGAACTTTTGGAAAGGATTTATCAGGACTACAGATGCCATACTAATACAGATCCCAAAGCCCCTGAAAATATTAGAATGGTAAACTTGACCTTTTTTTGAGCTAAGTACCTAAGATATGAAGAGAAGGTTGCAAAGATTAGATGGTGCCTTTAGAATGAACCCTTCTCAACTGGTAGGTGTTGCTTTTAAAGTGTGCGACAGGGAACAACAGAACGCCACTTTCCTGGCAGCTGCTTTGAATACCTAAAAGGCAAGTAACCCAAAGAGAGGTAAGCCACTATTGGGGAAGGAATAATGCACTTACTGTAAGGAAGACCATCGGAAAACAGAAGAAAAATGATAAAAGGTGAGAGCTTCTCATATGGTAGAAAGAGAGGAACACAGTGATGAATGAAGAAGCCCAGAGGCTCCCTTGGACTTGAGGCATCTAATTCCCCACAGGAGCCCCCAGTAAAATTGACAGTGGGGAATGAGCTGATGAACTTTCTGATAGACCTCACCCTGAAGTTTTTCACCAGAACCGCTTGACATCAGAGTTTCACCAGACCACACTTTAAGCCTACAGATGGCGCTCATGAAAATCCCAGGAAAGGAGACGGAGCTCTCCCCCCACCCCCTGCCCCAGGTCTACAAAAAGATAAGACCAGAAGTGTGTGCTGTCAGCACCCCAGGGAAGGCCGAAAACACATGGCCAGTACGAAAACCATTAAAAAGGGATGCTGGGACACCTAATCTAAAACAATATACTCTAGGCAAGAGGATCACTTCTCCCACAGATTGACTTGTCAAAATACAAACCAGTGTATTCAGAAAAGGACAGAGAGGGCCAAAGAGTGGTGTTTCACTTGGATCACACCTCATCTGGCTGGAAATGTAGTGCACAGCTGTTTTGATCCCTGAGGCACTCTTGGACACTGTGCTGTAGCACATTCAAAATAGTGCCCATTATGGGGGAGATGCCAAATTACAATGGATTCAAAAGTATATAATGGGGCCTTACCTACACAACACCATCCAGCAAGTCAATCAGAATTGCATGATTTGTGCTAAAAATAAACCCAAAGACTGCTGTTGGACGTCCCCAGATGAGGACTCAACATAGGAACCTGTGCCACTGAGGACTGGACTCAAATGCCTTGAGCTGCAGGAAATTTCAGATACCTGCCAGTATTTGTGGATACTTTTTCAGGATGGGTGGAAGCATATCCCACCTGGACAGAAAGTCTCTGAAGAGGATGCCTGGGTCTTGAACAAACTGAAAGCTGAACGTGAGTGTGGTATCACCATTGATATCTCCCTGTGGAAATTCGAGACCAGCAAGTACTATGTGACCATCACTGATGCTCCAGGACACAGAGACTTTATCTAAAAAAATGCTGACCCAGGCTGACTATGCTATCCTGATTGTGGCTGCTGGTGTTGGTGAATTTGAAGCAGGTATCGCCAAGAATGGGCAGACCCGTGAGCATGCCCTTCTGGCTTATACTCTGGGTGTGAAACAGCTAGTTGTTGGAGCTAAAACAACAGATTCCACTGAGCCACCCTACAGCCAGAAGAGCTATGAGGAGGTTGCTAAGTAAGTCAGCACCTACATTAAGAAAATTGGCTACAACCCTGACATAGTAGCATTTGTACCAATGTCTGGCTGGAACAGTGAAAACATGCTGGAGCCAAGTGCTAGCATGCCTTGGTTCAAGGGATGGACAGTCAGCCCTGGAGATGGCAATTCCAGTAGCACCATGCTGCTTGAAGCTCTGGATTGCATCCTGCCACCAGTTCATCCAACTGACAAGTCCTTGTGTCTGCCCCTCCAGGACATCTACAAAATTGGTATTGGTACTGTCCCTCTGGGTCGAGGGGAGACTGGTGTTCTCCAACCTGTCATGGTGGTCACCTTTGCTCCAGTCAACATTCCAACTAAAGTCTGTTGAAATGCACCATGAAGCTTTGAGTAAAGCCCTTCGTGTGGGCTTCGCCATCAAGAACGTGTCTGTCAAAGATGTTCATCATGGCAATGTGGTTGGTGACAGCAAAAATGACCCACTGATGGAAGCAGGTGGCTTCCAGCTCAAGTGATTATCTTGAACCATATCAGTGCTGGATATTCACCTGTGCTGGATTGTCACACAGCTCACATTGCTTGCAAGTTTGCTGAGCTGAAGGAGAAGATTGATCATCGTTCTGGGAAAAAGCTGGAAGAGAGCCCCAAATTCTTGAAATCTGGTGACGCTGCTATCGTTGATATGGTGCCTGGCAAGCCCATGTGTGTTGAGACCTTCTCTATCCTCCTCTGGTCATTTTGGTGTTTGTGACATGAGACAGATGGTTGCTGTGGCTATCATCAAAGCAGTGGACAAGAAGGCAGCTGGAGTTGGCAAGGTCACCAAGTCTGCCCCAAAAGCTCAGAGGGTTAAATGAATATTATCCCCAGTATCTGCCACCCCAGTCTTAATCAGTGGTGGAAGAACGGTCTCAGAACTGTTTGTCTCAATTAGCCATTAAAATTTAATAGTAAAAGACTGGTGAATGATTAACAATGCATGATAAAACTTGCAAAAGGAAAGGAGAATGCTTTGTGGACCACTTGTTTTGTGTGTAGTAGTTTTTAAAATCAGCACTTTAGAAAAACACACACATAAATAAAAAATCAGTACTTTTTAATTGGTTAAAGCCCTCCTGAAGGAAATTGTCCCCTGATTTGGATTAAGGCATTGGAACAACATTCATCCTGGAGACCACAATCAACAGGAAAAACTGAGAAAATGAATATTAATTTAACTTGGGATACAGCCTTGTCAGCTGCCCTGCTATGGATCAGTGGCTCCCAGAAGCAGGCTTAAATTAAGCCCCTTTGAAATATTGTATGATAGGCCATTCCAGGTGTCTGCCTGGGTGGGAGAATCCATAAATGCTCTAAAAGAACTAGCAGTTGCCAAATATGGTAGAACATTGAGCACTAAACTCTGATCGTGAGGTCTGCCTATCCAACTGAAGTAAATGGTAATTTCATTGTAGCTGGAGAAGCATCAACCTATTTGTTTATTTTTGTCCAAATAAATAGCATAGGAATTTAGTATATGTATTGGGAACTGGAACAAAAACTCCAAGTTCAATTACAAATTAGACAGCAAAATGCTAAGGGGTTTCATCAGATTCAAATAGTTGTAGATAAAAAAGGAAAGAGAATTTTACTACTGACTAAAGATTCTAAGGAATATTCATCGCCCCCATTCAGCAGAAAGTAGCCAGAGTGGTCTTCATCCCTTTCCCCACAAGACTGTGGAATATGGACACTGACAGTGGGGAACTGTGATAGGGAACAACCTTTGTATTCTATTATAAGTTAATCACAAAAGAGATGTTGCCTATAAGCTTAAATTATACATCATGGCCCATCTCTGGGAACCCTGCCTCCCAGATAATAAGCATGAAGCTAAAATACCTTTGTTTAGCTCACAGGAAACATCCTGACCAGGCCCACCTGTGAATGACTGCAGGGAGGAAGAAATTAACACATCCTCTCCAGAGACTGACTGGAACCAGGAAATGTTTGGCTTTAGTCCCTCTCCTTTTAGTATAAAAGAAGCCTGAATTCTAACTCAGGCAAGATGGTTCTTTGGGACACAAGTCCACTATTTTTTGGTTTGTTGGCTTTCCAAATAAAGTTACTATTCCTCACCCCAACAACTTGTCTCTCGATTTATTGCCCTATCGTGCTGTGAGCAATACGAGCTTGGACATGGTAACATTATCTTCTAGGCCTTACTTTATAACTTCTGAAAGTCAGCCATTATTTGTATTTTTATTCCCTTATGTAGAAAATGTTTTCTCTCTGGCTACTTTTAAGGTTATCTCTTTAAATGGGTTTCTCAGTAGTTTAAATATATGCCCGGGTGTGGTGTTCCTTCTGTTTATTCTGTTTGAGGTTTACTGAGCTTATTCTAAGGGGGAGAATTCTAAACCCTTTAGTCTTTCCAAGTAATTTCTTTACTTATGGTAAAAAAAAAAGAGAGCTCTGATTTATACATCAAATCTAAACAATAGTTGTCCCTTGCTTTTGCTGCAGGTATTTATGAAAGGGGAGAGAAGGAAATAGGTATTTCTTGTAGTGATCCACCTGCCTCCCAGTTCTTAGCCAGCTGGTTTCACAGATCAGAGTTGCTGAGTGTTGACAGGACCTTTAGGACCAGAAAGCAGCTCAGACTTCTGGGAAAAGAGCCTCAGGAGGCACTCTGCCAATGTCTCAACGTTACAGAGCCATGTCCCTGAACATGGGACCCGGAGGGAGGGACTCCATCTCGCACTCCACTGCCAGGCATGCAGCTTGGTGCATGAATTCTATTACGAACCTCAGCTCAGCAGTTTTTGGATCAAACAGGTTAAAGTACATTTTTCAAGACCACTATACCCAGAAGACATATTTCATCTTCTAGAAAAATCGGCCACCTCTTTTTTTTCTGAGGACCTCTGCAGAGACTGAATGAGAAGACAGCTTTGCAGGTGAGAACAAAGGATCATTGCTCTGAGACTCCTCATCTCCTTCTGTTTCCAGAATGAATCAAAATGCTACTGTTGGATGTGGATAAGAATTTCTGAGCTCATCTGTGTTGAGAATTATGCCAGATGAAACGGAAGCTATTCCCTTTGAGAAACCCGTATCAGGCATCTACTGTGTGTACGGCAGTATCCTAATTCTGTGAGAAGTTTTTTACTGGATAAAGACAGGCTTTTATTCTGAATTGATAAATGTGGAGCAATTTGGGAGCCTGCCATTGGTAGATGGGTGATAGAAAATGTAATAGCATCTGGGAAGGAATAGGCTGGTTCATGTCTCGGTATATAACAGAGATTGTTGACATACTATGCAAATATGATCTTATTTAATCCTCTAGTAACGTACTAAGTTACACAGTCAGACTTTTTTCCCCCTTGGATAAATGATGCCCAGGGAAATTAAGTGCCCTGCTTAAAGTGTCAAAGAGACAAGGTAGATTCTAGTAAAAGAATTATAATACAGATGATATTAAATATGAATTTAAAACCATAAAAAAGAATGTAATTTTAAAAATCTCAGCTGCAATGCCCCTATATTTGGTGTTTCCTTCTAATTTTTTATCTTTACCTGATTTATGTAAATATGATCAGAAAAATACTTTATAGCTAGTTAGAATTTTTGCACTGTCATTTTAATCCTTTTCATGTTCATCTTTAAGACTCTCTCATAGACAACATATATATCATAACTTTTATGTTAATGGGTTTTAGAGTAGTAGAATAATGATAGATCATAGTTTATGTAAATTATAGAGAGACACTGAGATTGTGTCCAATACTTCCCTGTTACTTAACATTGTATTGCTTTACAAACTTTTTCAGAGTATTTTTCTTCATTTGAATTGTTTTCTTTGAATAAATTCCCAGTACTGGAATGGCTTTGTCAAAGGTTTCAAAGTGTGCTCTATAGGACTTTGCCCACTATCAATGCTGGCAACCCACTAAAATGAATCTCCTCAGTTTTAGTCAACTGCATTTACTGAACACCATATTTGTGTTTTCAGTGTGTGTGCACACACGTGCAGAAAGTTCTCCCAAATGTACTTGTTGATACTTTAACATCCCCAGTAATCTGGCATCAAATTGAACTTTTCATATTTTCATGTAATCTTTTTGTGAAATGCTCCTCGCTAATGTCTGATTAGTCTTTAGAAATGATACATGTCTACTACTGTCTTGATACTTTCCAAGATATGGCACAGGTACTTCTATTCTGGTCTGAGGCTTTTTTCAAAGGAGCAACTAGTAGAAATTCCCATGCCCAGAACATAGTTGGCCTTCTGCAAGTACTTGTTGAATGAATGAAGGAGTCTTTTCCCCCTTGGTAAGCAGAGTGACTAAATCGATTATGTTGATACAAATACATAGTACATTCAATCACTAAACAGACATTGAGTCCTTACTGTGTGTAATAAACATTGAGAATAATAAAATAAATCATTTGAGGCCCTGCCCAGAGGACTGATAATCTAAAAGACAAAATGCAATTTACTGTAACAAGTTGTGTGATTGAAATATGTATATAATCTTAGGGGAGTGCAGAAAAGGGAGTGATTTGTATTGTTTGGATTGAGGAAATACAGGGAGTCAATAGGGGAAAACCTGAAATTTGAGTAAGACTTTGAAACAGGAGAAAAAGCTGGATTAAGAAGGTCTTCTGGAAGTAGAGCATAAATAAAATGAAGAAAGGCAGGAGTTGTTAAATCAGATACTGAGTTAAAGAAATATTCTGTGGTCTTGTGGGGAATAGAAGGACAACAGAGGAGACTAATAGACTTTACCTTGATAGTAAAAAAAAAAAAAATTCATTTACAGGACTTAAGTAAGTCTTACCAGTTCCAGTGACTGCCCACAGCAGCTACAGTCAAGATACAAACAACACTTTAATAATTAACTTAAAATGGGTTAAAGACGTAAATGTATTAAGACTTGAATTCGTAAAACTCCTAGAAGAAAACATGGGGGAAAAACTTGACCTTGGTCTTGGCAATGAGTTTTTGGATACGACAACAGAAGCACAAGCAACGAAAGCAAAAAATAAAGTGGGGCTATATCAAACTAAAAAGCTTATGGAGGGCTTCCCTGTTGGCGCAGTGGTTGAGAGTCTGCCTGCCGATGCAGGGGACACGGGTTCGTGCCCCAGTCCGGGAAGATCCCACATGCCACGGAGCGGCTGGGCCCGTGAGCCATGGCCTCTGAGCCTGCGCGTCCAGAGCCTGTGCTCGGCAACGGGAGGGGCCACAACAGGGAGAGGCCCGCATACCACAAAAAAAAAAAAAAAGCTTATGGAGAGAAAAAAACAATCAACAAAATGAACAACCTATGGAATGGGAGAAAATATTTGCAAACCAATAAGGGGTTAATATCCAAAATATGTAAAGAACTCATACAAGTCAAGAGCAAAATATATATATTGTATATATATTTAATCCTGTTTAAAAATGAGCGAAGAAGCCCTGGAAAGACATTTTTCCAAAGAAGACATACAAATGGCCAATAGGTACATGAAAAGATGCTCGAAACAAAATCACAATAAGAATATCTCACACCTGTTTAAATGGCTATTATCAAGCAGACAAGAGATAAGTGTCGAAGATGTGGAGAACAGGGAACCCTAATGCACTGTTGGTGGGATTATGAATTGGTGCAGCCACTATGGAAATAGTATGGAGGTTCCTATAAAAATTATAAATAGAACTACCATATGATCCAGTAACCCCACTTCTGGGTACGTATCTGAAGGAAATTAAATCACTATCTTGAGGAGACATCTGCACCCCCATGTTCATTGCAGGACTATTCACAATAGTCAAGACATGGAAACAATCTAAGTGTCCATAGATGGATGAATGGGTAAATAAGTTGTGGTATATCTACACATCGGAATATTATTCAGTCATGAGAAAGAAGAAAATTCTGCCATTTGTGACATGGATAACTTGAGAGCATTATGCTAAGTGAAAAAAGTCAGATAGAGTAAGACAAATACGCTATGATCTCAGTTACATGTGGAATCTGAAAAGAAACAAACTGATAGAAACAGAGAATAGTGGTTGCAAGCGACCAGGGGTTGGAGGAGATGCAAAGATGTTGGTCAAAGGGTACAAACTTCCATTTATGAGATAATTTCTGGAGATCTGGTGTGTAGCATGGTGACTATAATTAACAGTGCTGTATTATGTACTTGAAAGTTGCTAAGGAGTAGATCTTAAATGTTTTCACAACAATGCAAAAAGAAATATGTGATGTGATGGAGGTCATAACTAACTTTATTGTGGTGATCATTTTGCAATGTACATATGTATCAACTCATCACATTGTACACCTTAAACTTACACAACATTATATGTCAATCATTTCTCAATAAAGGTGGGGAAAAAAGAGAGATAACCACTCCCTTAGTGGTTCTGGTCAAGACTCTCCTCCCCTCAAATCATGAAGGGACCATTTTTCTCCCCAGATAACTGACAAAAAGTCCAGGTAAAAGGGAACACATATGCAAAATCAAAGCATTAATTTGTCCAAGATTCTCCAACATGTTAAAACAGCAGGATCAAAACATGAAAAGAAGTCTTTGGTAACTGGAGCATGACTGCCAATAGACACAAACTAATACTAGTTCCATTTCTCCAAGTACAGGTTCTACCTGCTCATCCCAAAGGACCAGTGTTCCCAAAGGGTTGAGCTGAAGAGGAGCAAGCCCTGAACACAGTGACCAGAGAGCTGGGAAGCCAAAGTAAGTAGAGAAGAAGGCAGCTGAGGTCAGTTTCCTAGCATTGATGAGCTAAATTCATGGATACCAAAAACAGACCGGGGATGACCTTTAAAAGAACAGTCAGGAACATAGGTAAATAAATGAGTTTAAACAACAACGACTTTCTCCTAATATCTACAGGGTTTTGCATATTCCAAGTTTAATGCCATTTTGAGTCTAACAAGAACTTTCTCCATAGTTCTTGTCAGAAAGAGTTAGCCAGTCATTCCCAGGAATATGGCAGCTGACATCTAACACCATCCTCTCTTCAATGGCCAGTTCTAGTGCAATCTCCTTTAAGAACGCTATAAGCTTCCACTGAGAAGTATTCTCTGTCTTTTGAGAATCTCGTAGGCCTTAGGCAGAACATTTGATTTGCCACAGTCTTCTGTCTACATTTTTAGTCAGCATGTTATGATCCAATTCTTCTGATAATCCTAATTTCCTACAGTGAGTCAAAATGCAGAAATGCTGCTTTATATTACATAGTAATATACACTATACACATCAGACTCTTAGGTTTAGGGATGGGCTAAGGCTCAAGAAGAGGTGAGGATTGGGGATAGGGTGATTGAATTCGTTTTCAATATCATTTGGTAATAAAAATGAGAAGAATAATTTATATTTTAAAGCATATCAAAATGGCTGCTTCAAAATGTCATGAATTCTATAGCATTGTGATTGCATATTTATGGGATAAGTCAGCTCTTTCTATGGGGCACGTGTTAGTTGTGTACATGTTTTATTTTCCTTATTAGATTATGAGTGCTTAAATGACAGGAAATCTAAGTTCACAGAGTTAGTTGATCAAAATTAAGTGTATCAGTCAGGGTCCAAGCCGAAAAGTAGATTTGTTACAGGGAATCGACCTTATGCAATTGTGTGGACTAGTTCAGCAGTTTCTGTAAGGCCGTTTCTTCCCACCTGGTGCTGAAGACTGAAGTACACAGGGAAGGTAGCTGGGAAAGGAACGTGAGAGGGAAAAAGAACAAGCTGAAACCCACAGTATAAGCTGAGGCTCACGGGGCCGGAGAAACTTTGTCAGTCCTGCTGACCCTGACCTTGGTAGAATGGGTGTCCCGCAGAAGCCAGGTTCCTTTGTTAAGGAGCTAAACACCCACACCTGGCCCAGGTGACAGACAAGCTGAAAGCAGACCTGGGGAGATTGAGGCACTTGCCAACCCAGCCCCTACCTTGGGTCGTGAGTTTAGCTGCAAAACGCCTGCTGCTTCGACTCTGCCCTCCAGGTCCTCCTTAGGAATCTCTCTGTGGCCCACCCTAACTGGAAATGTGCAGAGAAGGGAATTCTGAGAAATGTAGTTCAGCCTAGCTGAGGTGACACTCACCACAGTTGTTGAGATGACAGTGAGTTCTCAATAAATATTTACTGAGCGATTGTATAAGTGAATGACTGCATGGATGAATAAATCAATACTTAGGTTTCCAGGCTAGTCACAAAAGTCTATTTCAATGATAATGAAGCCATACTAAGATACCTTTGAATAAAAATCAAGGCCAGACTTTGGTAAGGAGAGCCTTTATTTGAAAGGATTATTTCAAGAGTGGGGAAAAGGAGTGCTGTAACAGAAAGAGGGTATTATTTCAACAGGAGAACTCTTAGACCATAACATCTGCAAACACCTGAAAATTCAGGCAGGAAATGGTTATTCTTTTATGGAAAGGAGTAAGCAAGGTTCATGGGGGATCATTCTGAATGCCAGTGGTGGCTCTGGCTGAGCGTAGGTCACAGTGCAGAGCCCTGTGTGGAGGAGAGAAGCTTGATTAATGTGCGCTCAAGCCGATAACTTTTGTTAAGACATCAGAACACTTTGTTCTGATGGTTCAGTGGGGATAAACGGTCAAGCTAACCATTTATGAAGGAAGAGTAAACAGGGCTACAAAGAACCCAGTTCTTCTGCCCATTTTTTAATTGGGTTGTTTGGGGGTGGGGTTGATGTTGAGTTGTATGAGCTGTTCATTTGTTGAAGATTGGGAATTTGAAGGCTTAGTAGCTGGCCTTGTCATAGGTAACAGGCGGACATGGTGAGTCTTACTAAGCCAAACGGAAGAAAGGACAGTTCTTTGCAGGAAGACATTTCAAAAACACAAAGGGGATGGAGCGGTTTCTTTAGCAATTGCTGTTTTCCAGGATAACAGGGCTTAGGTGTCTTTGTATGTCTTGCAGCACTTCTCATCCCTTGGTTTTCGATCCTCTCTTTAGATTAAGGTACCTGCCAAGATGTTCCACTTACAAGGCCCGCAACTGCTGCAGATGTTAGAGAAATCCTTGAGGAAGAGCCTCCCTGAGTCCTTAAAGGTGAGAGTGGAACATTCTTAGGGAAAAAAGGACTAGCAACAGCCTCAGAAAAAGGTGGGAAAGAGAACAAGCATTCACTGAGCACCTACTCTGTGCCAGACACTCACTCATCTTGCATCTCATTTAGTTCATCATCTCTCTGCACGGCAGGTACATCATGTCTGTAGAACCAAAGAGGAAACGGAGGCTCAGTTATATGACTTGACCAAGATCACAGCAATAGTGAGCGGCAATGCTATGATTTGAATCCACTATGTTCTTTGCTGTGTGATGACCCAAAAACTTTCCCTTGTGCCCTTTCAACTCTTATGTTATGTAACACTGGAAGTTTGTCCAGAACTGGCAAAGTTAATGTGTAATTTATTCTTCCCAAACAATCAAGTGCCTGATGAAAAGTTAACTATTATGATTCTTCTTTGTAATTAATAACTGGTCAATTTCTGTTTTGTCAAACCCCAAAGGATTATTATGTTTAACCTGGAGTGAGACAGAAATTGTGTTTAAGAAGTGATCTTATACCACAGAGAAGTGTTTTTTCTTGCAATAATATATGTTGCAAAGGGACTAGGCTATTGCTAAAGAGTGCCACTGCATTATGATAAAGGCATTAATTCATCAAGGAGACATAAGAAAGGCTGAAATGTATACACCCAACAACAAAGGCTCAAAGTACCTGAGACAAAAACTGATAGAACTGAAAGAAGAAATAGGGAAACACACAGGTATAAAGACTTCAACATTCCTCTCTCAGCAATTTGTAGAATAGGCAGAAAACCTATAAATATATGTGAACTTACTACATATGAAATACAATGAACCAGCCTGAAGTAACTGGCATTTATAGAATACTTTCCACAACCACAGCAGAGTACATATTATTTTCAAGTGCACATGGAACATTTACCAAAGTAGACCATGATTTTAAAAAGTTTAGAAGAATTGAAATCATACCAAGCATGTCCTTGAACAATATAGAATTAAACTCAAAATTAAAAAAACCTGAAAGGTGTCTGGGAAATACCTGAATTTCTAGAAATTATATACTTCTAAATAAATCATGCTTAAAAATCACAAGTAAAATTAGAAAATATTTTAGTTGAACGAAAATAAAAATACAACTTTTGAAAAGTTTTGGGATGCAACTAAAGCAGTGATAACTGGGAAATAGTTAGCATTAAGCACTTATAATAAAAAAGAATAATGGTCTCAAATCAATGCTTTAAGTTTCTACCTTAAAAACTAGAAAAAAAAGTAAATTAACCTCAAAGAAAACACAATTAAGAAAATTATGAAAGATAAGAGCTGAAATCAGTAAATTTGAGAAGAGAAAAACAATTAAGAAAATCAATAAATCTAGACTCTGGTTCAGTGAAAAAAATCAATAATGTTGGTAAAGTTCTAACCAAACTGACCAAGAAATAGAAGACACAAATTATAAATATCAGGAATGGAACAGGGAGCATTACTACAAACACAATAGACATTATAAAGATATTAGGATACACTGTTTTCAATGCTGAGCTCATAAATTTCACAATGTATGTTCTGTGAAAAGCACAAATTACCAAAGGTCACTGAAGAAGAAAAATGCAAACTATATTGTCCTATATCTATTGGAGAAATTGATTTTGTAATTTAAAACATTCCAAAGAAAACTCCATGTCCAGATGGTGTCAGTGGCAATTTCTATTACACATGTAAGGAAAAAATAATACCCCTTCTACACAAACTCTTGCAGAATAGAGCAGAGGAGAAAACACTTCTCAAATCATTTTATGAGCCCAGAATTACCCTGATACCAAAATCAGAAGTGGGTATTACAAGAAAAGAAAACTACAGAACGATATCCCTTGTGAACAGAGATTACCCTCAACAAAATACTATCAAGTCAAATCCATCAATATATCGAAAGGATAATACATCATAACCAAGGGGAGTTTATCTTGGAAATGCAAGGCAGGTTCAACATTCAAAAATCAATCAATGTAATTCACCATATCAACAGACTGAAAAAGAAAAGCCATATGATCTTCTCTCAATAGATGCAGAAAAAAATATTTGACAAAATGTAATATTCCTCATAGAAATAAAACTCTCAGCAAACTAGGAATAGAAGGAATTTCTTCAACCTGATGAGAAGCATACTGGAAAAATCTGCATCTATCATCATACTAAATAGTGAAAGAGTGAATGTTCCTCCTAAGATCGGTAACAAGGCAAGGATATTCATTCTCACGCTTCTATTCAACATGGTACTGGATATCCTAGCCGGTACAATAAGGCAGGAAAAAGAAATAAAATACATATGTATTGGAAAGAAATAAATTAGTGTTTATTCACAGATGGTATGATTGTGTAATGTAAAAAATCCTAAGGAACCTACCAAGAAGCAACCCTAGAAAGCTCCTAGATATATAACTAAGTTTAGCAAAGGCTTTAAGGTGAATATACGTAATACAAAAATTGTTTTTCTATGTGCTAGCAATGAACAATTGGAATTAAAAATTAAAAATCAATACCTTTATAAGCAACCTCCCCCCCCCAAAAAAAACCAAGAGACAACAACAACAAAAAACCTTAGGTATAAACAGTTAATTTACAAGGCTTGTCTCTAAAATAAATCTCATTTTCTTTTGTTGATGAATCACAGCTCTGGGCTTCTCAGGGCAGCATGAATATGATGTATAATTCAGTATAGTTAATTACACTGATCATGCTGATGGGAAACCTGGAAGGAATAGCATCATATTACACCTTTTTTTAACCTTTTTCTGGTGCTCTGACACCTTGTATAGGGATCATGTGTAGACTCGGCCATGAGTGCTGAGTGTAGCCCAGAGACACTGATCCTTCTGACTGAGGTAGGGTAGGGAACTGTCGAGAGGAACAAGGTCAGGACTCAGACTGCTCTGACCCCACAGATTCATTGTTTTCTGGGTAACACTGCAAAAAGTAAACATCTCTAAGTCTCAGTGCTCTTGCATGTAAAATGAGTAAAACTGGAAAGTAAATACTCTCGGTAGACATTCCTCAACCTTAAAGAGGGTTATGATTACCTTGCAGAGCTGTTGGGAGGATTAAATAAAATATGATAAAATTTATAGCCAACACTTATGGAACACTTACCAAATGTCAGGAACTACACAAAGTGCTCGACATGAACTCAAAAGTCTAACTCAAAAGTCCTTTGGGGCTTCCCTGGTGGCGCAGTGGTTGGGAGTCCGCCTGCCGATGCAGGGGACGCGGGTTCGTGCCCCGGTCCAGGAAGATCTCACATGCCGCGGAGCGGCTGGGCCCGTGAGCCATGGCCGCTGAGCCTGCGCGTCTGGAGCCTGTGCTCCGCAACGGGAGAGGCCATGGCAGTGAGAGGCCCGTGTACAGCAAAAAAAAAAAAAAATGACTATGTAGATTTGTGTTTACTGACATGGAAATATGCTCATAGTATAGTGTGTATGTGTACGTATGGGGGGGGGATAAATGTTAAATTAATATGTATTAGGTAATTTCATGTTTAAAAACAATGTGTAAATAAACGGAATAAAATGGAAAGAGAACACTAAATTCTGCAATGTGATAGTAGATGATTTTTAATTTATTCATTTTATTTATCTGGATTTAAAAAAATATTCATATAATATTCTCATTGTTTGACCCCCAAATCTAGAACCTAGTAGAACCTGAAGATTGAACTGAATGCTCTATTAGGTACTTACCCTCATTTCATAGAAACAAACTTTGAACTGATCAAACGCAAGGCACTTTGCCAACCCTTCCTAATAAGCTGACCCTCTCACTTTGTCCGGATACTGCAGGTTTATGGGACCGTCTTCCACATGAATCAGGGAAACCCATTCAAGCTAAAGGCCCTGGTGGACAGGTGGCCTGATTTTAATACAGTGGTTATCCGCCCTCAGGAGCAGGTAAGGTGCTAGATGTGGAATGAATTTGCATCTATGTTTGTATTCACTATGAACCTACCATGTACCTTGCAATGTGGTAGACCCTGGGGATACCAAAATGAATTGCAGTGATAGTGAACAAGTCCCTGTCCTCAAGAACTTCACAGCCTGGAGGGAAACATAGACAAGCAGATAAATTACAACATGCTTTGAAAATGTACAAAAACATACGAGATACAGAAGTAGCACTGACCAAGAGATGATTAAAACTGTAGATGTCAGGGGATGCAGGGAGAGGATCAGAGAGCCTTCAAAACAGACATTTCACCAAAACTGAATTTTGAAGAATAATAGGTTTTTGACAGGTTGACAAGAGCAGAGATTGCATTCTAAGCAGAGAAAATAACACCCAAAAATATGTGAAGTTAAACATGAATAATGTTAAGGAAATAAAGAACAAATTACAATGCTTGTATCTGGGAATATATTTTCAGTACCAGACTTTTAAAAATCACTCAAACTAAGTGGTTAATCTGTTTCAAATATAAATATGTTGCAAGCATATTGCAAATATAAAATAAAAATTCATCTCATAGTATTTTGATATAAATTATTTACAAGTAAAATTTAAATGTATAGTGACTTTAAAAAAGCAAATTAAACAGAATACAAAAATAAAGATAATTTAATTATTGAAATCTAAAAATGGAATAATATTCCCTTTTTTATGCAACTTTAAAACAGAGATTGTTGGTGGTATTAATGCTGAGGGCATTTCTGTGCAACAGCTTCCAGCTATTCTACCCTTGTTGGGTAGTTGTTCTCTCCTTCCTTTGCCTTCAAAATAAATCTCACCCTTTATTTGTTAATTTTGAGCAGATCTTATTGAGCAAATTTTGCATTTCAGTTTTGTTGGGAATATGAATTATTTTGTAAACAATAGTGCACTGTGGTTTACATTTTAAAGACATCACGTGTCTTCACTCTGTATAGCTTTATCACATGTGAGAATTCTAATACAAAGTTACCTGTGTCAATTTCAATATTGTTTTCATAATCCATTTGTTCTGAGACTCTTTGAAACAGAGTAACATTTACTCTTGCAATGGAAACTTGTCTTTGACAAAAATTCCTTCCTTCTCCTGAGGATTACAGAATTACTGAAGAATGCTTTGTAAACTGGTACGTGTTTGGCTGATTTGAAATTGTAATGTAACATATAAATACCTAGTTCATCAAGTTTTTCTTACTCATAAGTGGAGTAATTCATTAAATCCTTTACTTAGTCTTATGATGTAAATGATTCAGGAATGATGATAGTACATCAAGAAGAATATCAATATTTAGGTTTGTAAAACATCACTGTATAATGAAATACCAAGCACAAGTATTCCAATCACTGGGCATAGTCAATTTGATTTATTTATATTACCCAACCAAACAGGATATGGCAGATGACTTTGATCACTACACCAACAGCTACCAAATCTATTCTAAGGACCTCAAGAACTGTCAAGAATCCCTTAGCACATCAGATGTCATCAACTGGAAACAACATTTGCAGATCCAAAGTATGTAAGGGATCTGGGATATGTGCTGGCTGCTAGGACTGCTCATATCTGTATAGCCGTAGGGTCACTTTTTATCCTGAGTACATCCCCCTACAACCTTTATTTCCTTTTACCAAACTCCAGACACTCAGCTTGATGTTCATTCCCTGTATCAGCTGCCACCATCTCTTCAGTGGAGTTGAATTCAAACATTACAAACTCTAAGGTTCCTTTAAGAACGTGTGAGTGATGCAAGTTCTCGTTACTGGAGGATTCATGATATATTTTTCAGACATATTCAGGATCCCTTAGGGTGATTGGATGTGAGAGCAGAGCTCCCCCTCTGGCCTTCCATTCCTAGAATTAGAATGATAAGTCCTTGTGCCACAGAGCACTACCCCAGTCACAAGAACACCTGTCATTGTTGGAGTCAGACTCCCTTGGGTGATATCCTTGCTCTGCCTGTGACTTGCTTTGTGATCTTGTGCAAATGATGTAACTTAACTATTATTCAGTTCCTTCATGTATAAAAAATGAAGATAATAAAAGTACCTAAAACATGAGGTTAACGTAAGGATTAAATGTGGTATCAGACCAATACCTGGGCATGTAGTATGTGAACATGCAAGGTTGCCTACTGTTTTCTAAATACCAATTCTCCTTGATTTCACAGTACTATAGTCAGGATTTCTAGTGTTATCTCTGTATTGCAGAAGAGAAAACATGCTTAGGTAGCTACATGGCCATGGTCACATGGTCACTTGCAACAGCAGAGGCAACATCGTCTGACTTTAAGTCCTGCATAGCTTCTGTTGGGAAGCTTCGTGAAGCATCTAAATGGACAATTGCTTCTCTCCTAACTTTATCCCTCTCTAGGTTCACAGTCCAGTCTGGATGAGGTGATACGGAATCTTGCAACCACTAAATTCGTTAAGGTCAAGCAAACCCAATGCATTCTCTATGTGATGTCTGAGACAGCGAGGAAACTTCTTCCTTCCCTGCCGGAGACAAAGAACTTACCTGCTGGATCTGGCAGACCCAAAGCCATGTGAGTTTGAAAAAAGACGCTCTGCACTATTCACATCTTTCACTATTGAAGTAGCCTCCCAACTTCTCCCCTTATATTCCCTCTTGTCTCCCTACAATCCATTTCCAGGGTGATTGCTTTTAGTAGGGAATGTGGATTATGTCCATTCACCTGCCAAGAAGTCACTGAGGTTTCTCAGCATACTTTTTTTTTTTTTTTTTTTTTTTTTGTGGTACGCGGGCTTCTCACTGCTGTGGCCTCTCCCGTTACAGAGCACAGGCTCCGGACGCGCAAGCTCAGCGGCCATGGCTCACGGGTCCAGCCACTCCGTGGCACGCGGGACCTTCCCGGACCGGGGCACGAACCCGTGTCCCCTGCATCGGCAGGTGGACTCTCAACCACTGCGCCACCAGGGAAGCCCTCAGCATACCTTTAATAAAACCAAACTCCTTTATGGACTTTCAAGGTCCCGTAAGACCTGGAACCCATCACCTTTTGGACTTCATTCTGTCCCTCTAGCTAACTCCCACCAGCAGCTCTGGCCATCTTTCTGCAGCTCAATCTCATACATTCACACATGCATTTGCACTTTGTCTGCCTACAATGTCCTTCCCTGTGATCTTCATATATTTGCCTCTTTCTGCCATTCATACTCTCAAATGTCATTTCCTCAGAGAGGTCTTCTCAGAGAACCCTGTCTAAAACCACCGCCTCCCATAAGTCTTCAACTGCAAAACCCAATTTTTATTCTTTATTGCATTTATCATTACGTGAAATCAGCCTGTTTGTGTATGTACTGACCTGTTTGTTCTTTGACCCTCCCCCCTACAACGTTTCAAACTCCACAAGTGCAGCGACCTTCTTTATGTTGTTCACTGATAGATCCTCAATACCAGACTGAACACATAGCAGGTGCTTGAAAAATACGCATTTAATGAGTTCACTTCACAGAGCAAAAGTTTTCCAGTAAAGAGAAGTTAAACAAATTATATATTTCCCCCCATTGATGTCCAGTCTAACACTGAATAGAACGGAACACTGATGGTGGAGATTTGAGCTGGAGATACCCAATCCTATGACCCTCTGTGTGTTAATGTACCTGGAAAAGCTTTATTCACATTGTATCACACATGACACCTGAAAAGCACCTGCACATCTATAATCTCATTTGATTCTCCTGTCCACCCCATGAAATAGACAAGGTAGGAGATATTATCCCTAGTTTCCTGACGGAAAATAGGCTCAGATAATGAAACAGCTTGTTCAGGTCACATGGATGGTTAAGGGCATAATGGGCTTAAATCTAGATCTCCTAGTTCCACATGGTGGGCTCTTTCTAGGACACCCCCCCGAAGCCTCTTTACAGCCTGCAGATGCCTTCAGATTCAGTGTTCTGTACTTCGGGGGCCGCCTGCATGCCACATCACTCCCCCTCTCTGGACTTCATTCAGTTCCCACAGTGGCCAAGGACCCTCTGATGCCAACATTCTAAGATTCCATGATTCTAAGCTCTGGCTTTATATACAGCTTGCTAGCATGTGCTTTGGGGCACTTGCCTATTTTCTGTTTACCTATTTTTCTTATCTGTAAAATGGGGGTAATATCAATTCCCTCATATTAAGGGGAGAGTCACTGCATTGCTGAAAGGACCGATACTTAATTTTTATGTACTTCTTATTGTTTATGGGCACAAGTCCTAGGTACTCACGATGTAATTGCTCTTATATCAGTATTTTTGGAAGGTACTTTTAATATCCCCGCTTTATAAAGAAGAAATGGAGGCAGAGAGACATTATGTTGCCTGCTCGAGATCACACAACTAGCCAGATTATGAATCCCGGCGGTCTGGTTGCAGAATCTGTACCTTTACCTGTGCTCTCATTTGCATTGTCTGAAGACAATTTGGGGGCAAAAAAATATAATACTCCACAGTATGTGTGACTTATGGACTGTTCTTTTTCCTTCTTCTCAATAGTGACCAAGAGATGTTTAAACTCTCATCCCTGGATCCTACCCACGCGGCCGTGGTGAATAAATTCTGGCATTTCGGTGGCAATGAGAGGAGCCAGCGGTTCATCGAGCGCTGTATCCGGACCTTCCCCACCTTCTGCCTGCTGGGGCCTGAGGGGACCCCTGTGTCCTGGTCCCTGATGGACCAGACAGGAGAGGTGCGGATGGGGGCCACCCTGCCTGAGTACCGGGGCCAGGGTCTCGTCTCCCATATGTTGTTTGTCCACAGCCATGCTCTGGACAAACTCGGCTTCCCCGTATATAACCATACAGACAGAGCCAACAAAATCGTACAGAAAATTAGTCACAGTCTGCAACATGTCCCCATGCCCTGTGATTGGAACCAGTGGAACTGTGCGCCTCTGTGAAGCAGCCACGAACCCAAGGCAGTGCTGGGTGGGCTGGTCACATGGCAAGAGATGCTGGGGCGGGTGGGGGGGGACAGAAAGAAAGAATAAAGTGTGATCAGCAGTAAAGCAGTGTGTGTTGTTTGGGCTCTGAGGAAGCAGCGTGAGTGGTCAACAGAACCACCAGAGTCCCTACTCCCAAATCACTCATGAATTTCCCTTTGGGTCCAGCAGACCTTCCTACTTCCTCCACATTCCAACCCTGGCAACCACCATTCTATTCTGTGTTTCTGTGAGTTCAACTTTTTGTTTTTGAAGATCCCACGTATAAGTGATATCATGCAGGATTTCTGTTTCTGTCTGGTTTATTTTACTGGTTCACAATTTTCTTCTAATACACATGGCTAGTAAGGAAACTATCCATAATCAATAAGGAATAAATGCAACCCACTGCTCTAGTGGTGCCATTATTCTTCTTTCCAGCACCATCATATCTATCTCTATTTAGAACGCGTACATGGAATGCAGAGTAAGACAACTTAAGTACTATAGCTTGTCATATCACAATAGCAGGACAATTTAACATCTTGTTTTCCAGAAACAACACACATGCAAAAAGAAAATTGTTATTTAACAATAACTGTTAAAATGTATGTGGTAGAGATACTTTAAATTTGAGGTAACTCAGGAAAAATCTATAAAATTGGATCGAATTTGTGGGATTTTATCACACATAACATTTGTACATTCTGTGAACTAGGTTAAATCTGTAAATATTGAATATGACTTTTTTTTCTAAATTGACAAGATAAAAAAATTGGCATGTTATCAACTTGTTTCAAGTTGCAGGATGAATATGAATTACTTGTATCAAGACAAGACTACTCTAGGTAGAAAGGGATACTTCAAATGTAATGTTCTTTTGTGTGTAAAGAGGAGTTTTACAATTAATATCAGCCATTATTCTCATACCAAGCTGTAGGACATTTTATACAATTTAATAAAGGACTTTACATACTGAAAACCCTCCAACTAACATTGTATGTTATGCACCAGTGTGCTGTGCATTTTCAGAAAATTAAAGCTTCGAAAATGTTCAGGAAGACGACTTTACTCTCAACTTTCTCTTGTAGTACAATCCACCCTTCGAAGAGTTCAGAAAGGAAACTGAAAAAATGTTGCATTGTCATCAAATATATTTTTAAGATAATGAATTTTTTGTCTTCCTCAAAAAGGAATTTGAGAATAGAATAGTGCATTACGTGCTAGTCTCTAGTGGTACGCATCTATATATTTATGTATATATATATTTTTCCTCCAAGACACAGGAATTTAAAAAAATTCTCACATCTCAATAAAGCCATGAAACAACAAAATTCTCTCATCTCTAATGAATTAGTGTGATCATAGGTATGATTATCAGAGAAGAAAGACACTGAGGATGTACCAGTGGTAGAAAAAAAATAAGGATTCTCCAAGCTGATACATCAAGGAAGAAGCACTTCCTTATTTCGGGAGATGACCTGAAATTCTGCTGGTCTAAAACAGCACTTCTGTATGACATCTGCAATCATCACCGCATCACTGGAATTTTCTGAATACTGACAACATAAAACAGCACAGATTCTAGTAATAAATTATATTAGCTGCTTATTTTTACCTGAAAAGGGCTTTATTTTACTTAAATTTTGAAGGGTATTTTCACTGGGATGTAGAATTTTATCACTGTTTTTCCTGAAGCACTTTTTGCGATGCTGTTCCAGTGCACTCGAACTTTGTAGTGACGAGAAGTCAACTGCAATTCTTATTATTCCCTGAAGGAAGTGTGTCTTTTATGTCTCTGCCTGCTTTGTCCCCCCACTTTTTAATTTTATGTATTTTATTGTGGTTGAAAAATATGAGATCTTAACTGTGTACAACACAGTATTTTTCTCTATGAGCACAGCAGACCTCTAGAACTTTTTCATCTTACAAAATGGGTACTTTATACTCATTGATAAGCAACTCATCTTTCCCTCTCCCCAGCTCCTGGTAGCTACCACTCCACTTTTTGCTTGTATGCGTATCATTACTTTAGATACCTCATATAAGTGGAATCATGCACTATTTGTCCTTCTGTAACTAGCTTATTTCACTTAGCATAAAGTCCTCAAGTTTCATTCATGTTGTCGTATATTGCAGCATTTCCGTCTTTTTTAAGGCTGAATAATATTCCATTCTATGTATGTACCACATTTTCTTTATCCATTGGTCTGTCCACGGACACTTAGGTTGCTTCCACATCTTGGCTACTGTAAATAATGTTTCAATGAACATGGGTGTGCACGTAGCTATTCAAGACCCTGAGTTCAACTCCTTTGTCTATATACCCACAAGTGGAATTGCCGGATCACATGGTAGTTCTAGTTTTAATTTTTGGAAGAACTGTTATACTGTTTTTCACAGCGTCTGCACCATTTTACATTGCTACCAACAGTGCACAAGTGGCTGAATTTCTCTACATCCTTGCGAACAATTTTTAGTTTTTGCTTTTGGGAAAAGCTGGAATTTGGGGGTTTTGCCTTTGCTCACTCTGCATTAAGCTGGGGGGGGAGGGGCTATTACCAATGAGCGTGCACTAGTTCAAACCATCACCTTTGCTCTCAGTGGTTCCCAACATGGGGCTCTTTCCTCTCAATACTCAGACTCAGGCAAGATGGAAAAATAAGTCCCTCAGGCTGCTCCTGAAAAGTCAGGCCATTGCATGTCCGGTCCAGTCCTCTCATCTTCCCTGGGACAAGCTGGGAGTTGGGGTCTTCCTCCCAGCGTGAAGTGCTGTGCTGCAGGGCTTGGGGGAGTACGGTAAGAAGGTCCACATATTTCGCTAGTGGCTTCAGTACTGCTGGTTTCGTGCCCACCTGGTGTGCAGGAGCCTCTCAAGTGGTCTCTGGATTTCTCACAAGGGGAGTTGAGCTGTGTCTTATTTTAAAATTGGTGTGCCTAGGCTTTGGAGAGTGTGGGGTTTCCTATTATGCCATGTTACTGACTCTGACTGCTTTTATGACTTTCCTTTTATCTTTGCCTTTCAGAAATTATTATATTTCTAGGCTTGTTTTACTCTGCGTTTATCATGCTTAGGGTTTATTGAGATCCTTGGTTGTGTAGGTAGATATTTTAAACCAAATTTGCAATTTGGGGGCCATTAAAAAATGTTTAGCTCCTCTCTTTTTTCTCCTTCTGGGACTGCAATTATACATCTGTTAGATAATTTAATACAATCTTGCATGTCACTGGGGATCTAGCCTTATTTTATTCAGAATTTTGAATATTAGAACCAGAATTAGCTAAATTATCAGACATTCATGGACTCCACGGGCCTCATGAGTATGACTGGACCTAGGGCCCTAAGGAAAGAATTATTGCCACTAAATTTTTTTTTTTTTTTTTTCGGTACGCGGGCCTCTCACTGTTGTGGCCTCTCCCATTGCGGAGCACAGGCTCCAGACGCGCAGGCTCAGCGGCCATGGCTCACGGGCCCAGCCGCTCCGCGGCATGTGGGATCTTCCCGGACCGGGGCACGAACCCACGTCCCCTGCATCGGCAGGTGGACTCTCAACCACTGCGCCACCAGGGAAGCCCCAACCACTAAACATTTTTATGCACATTAGCACATGCATATTGCATTGTATTAGATAATTTTTCATTTATTTCATATAACATTTCTACATGCTTACCATGTACCAGGAACTTAAGTTATTATTGTCTAAGCAATTATAACTATGCATATCTAAATTAAGAAAAGATATGATCTTATTTCTGCTTCTACCTAGGATTTAGAAAGCGGAGAAAGCTTTGTTCCCACACTAATGATGAGAAAAGGCTGGATAAACTACAAGATCATATATTTTCTGGAACTCATCAGGGATCAGTAGGCACAGGGAAACCCACTTGCCTGAATTCCCCTACTAGATAAGAGTACTATTATTTACTCCTTATTGTAGATACAGACACAGAGACATGGAAAGATCAACTAATCAGTCCAAGGTCACAGTAGGTAAGAGGTGCAGTCAGGATCTCAACCCTGTTAGTTCGGCCCCATCTTACTCATCTGAGCCCCTCTGCTGTGCTGCTTCTGTCGTCATTGGCAGTCCTAACCCAGCACCCAGAGAAACACTTCCACGAAAACTGACGCCAATGCTCCTGAAACTTTTCCCTTGTACCTGACCCCAAAGTGTGTGAGAAGATTTATGTCTGCTATCCTGTGTAACACAGCAAAGGTAATAACCACAGAGTCAATGAAGTGTCACCGGCAAATCCCATTAACAATTCCCGGGGAGTGTGTACATGTCCATCCTAAACTCCCAATCTATCCCTGCCCCCTCCCACCCTTCTGCTATATTTAAAATAGATAACCAACAAGGACCTACTGTATAGCACAGGGAACGCTGCTCAATATTCTGTAATAACCTATATGGGAAAGGAATTTGAAAAAGAGTAGATACGGGTATGTGTATAAGTGAAGATTCTTTGCTGCACACCTGAAACTAACACAGCATTGTTAACCAACTATGCTCCAATATAAAATAAAAATTAAAAAAAAAATCAAAACCAGTTCCCGGGGAATACAAACAGAATCTGGGTAATAAAATAAAGGCTAACCTTTCTCCTTTCTTTTGTGCTTCATCTGGTTTCATTTGCTCACAGGGTGCCTCGTGCAGAGGCCTCACACCCGGTGCTTCAGACCAGAGTTTGCACGGGCGCTTCAGCTCTGAGGGCCGTGAGCAGAAGCACTGCCCACAACGCCGAGATTCAAGATGGTGGCAGCGGCAGAGGGCCGTGTGCACAGACCCTGCACCCGACACTGCCATCTGGAGCCCTGAGCAATACGCCTGCCCCAGACCCTGGAGAACTCCGCACCCGCCCTGCCAAGGAGAGAACCCTATAAAGCAGCCCTGCCCACCACCTGTTAGGGAGAGTGTGTGTCCTAGAGCCAGAACTTGCACCTCTCCATTCCCTGATGGAAGAATAAAGCTTTCCTCTGCTTCTAAGCTGAACTAGTTCTCATTTTTTTGGTGGGAGCGACGCCAGGCAGGAGGACCCTTCTTGGGGACCCACTGGAGAGGGTTGGTAACAGAAGAGCAGAGAAAACCCTTGGTTACCCGGCATGACAACACTATTTTTTTCCAGCTGGGAAAACATTCCAGAGAGGTTAAGAGAGTAGTTTAAGGTTAAAGGGTAACAGAGACTCTTGAATCTTCTGACTGAGTGCGTGAGTGCAAGGGCTGAAAGA